CAGCTGTCCTTTGCTAACTGCACGGTCTATAAAAAGGCAGATTCAAGGAGTATTTGAGCAAAGGCAGAAATGTGCACAGACCTCAGACTGAGAAAACTCATGTTATTAGCCTTTATTGCCTTACTTACTGTTCTAGCCCATTACCTGTCTTAACAATGTTCAGAGAACCTTCTCTGAGATGCAATACCAGTCCATGGAAATCCACATTCACTCCATGACAATTCAGACATCCCAGGGTCGATCTCAGCAGGAAGGTTCTGATATGTTGTTGATCCCAATAGGATCTTGCTGCAGCTTTACAGTAAAATATTGTCCTGCCGTTTTCTACCAGACCATTCAAATTACATATGTTTAAATAGAATCAAAATGGTGATTACAAATGCTGGAGAGTAAATAAGTGAAGAGAGATTTAAATGTCTGTAGAGCTATGGATATATGCTTGTGAAGCTACTCTTATTTCCAAGAAACTTCCATTTAGAGAAATGCTATTCTTGGAGTTGTATTGCATTGTGTGAAGTGTTAGCACGTCTGCAGACCAAGGTTGCTGCTGCATCTATTGTGCTTTTAACAGTGGGATGTGACCTCATGACTTCTTAACAAATGCTTGTTAACCTCAGTTTTCTTGCTAACTAGGGGTATAAAATGGACTTTTTCCATTCACTTAGGTTTTAGTACCAGAAAAGGAGAAATGGGAAAAAACACGAAGAAAATACCTGGGGGGAAAAAAATACCCTTTGCCCTGGTGTCAATCTGTCCAATCAAGTGTTCCTTTCCTCTTCTTTTTACTATTGCTAAACCTTATGACTTGTGAGATTCTACTTGATTGGTTTCTAAATGACCAAAATTCAGTCCATCACTGTTCTGCAAGTGAATTTTTTTTATTCTGTGAGCTCAGGTAGGAATTATTTGAGCTTAGTCTTGACAATTTCCAAGGCACAGATATGTTTACCAGACTTTAAGGACAGAAGAGGTTAGACCATAATGGTGTAACAAACGGCACATTTTTAAATACAGATCAATTCCAATACTTGAAATGAGGTCCTGTAAGATAATGAATCAACATTTAGGGACCACTTTCTACACACATGGTAAGGGAACAGCTCAGGAATAACACCAATGCAAATTAGGCCAAGTTTTGAATGTTCATTACTATAAAGATAATGAGTTCCATGTAGTCACTTTGCCCAAACCCTAAAGGCTAACTTTCTTCAAGGGTCTTCTGACTGACTTCATGCTCCAGAGTATTCAGAAGATTGCAGAAATTAGTATTCACAATTATTACCATTTATCATCTACAAACACACAGGATGTGCTAAGCTTCCAAAGGCTTTCTTCCAACTGAAATGAAAAAAATATGATGGCATATTTACCATGACATCACACTTTCTTTTTCTGGGGGAGAGGAAGGGAGCCCCAAGAAAATAACAAACCAAAAAAACCCAGTCACATAAATCTTGGAATAATAGGAAAGTATAATGTAGTTAATTAAGCTGGCTACTTCTCAGTCTTATTGGCTGGATTATGCAGTCTAATTATTAGTTTAGGACCAAGAAAGACCAAGTGCTTGTCATTCTCTGACACACATCTGGTATTTCCATTTTCCATTCAGAAGTGCCACAGCCCAGCTCACACTTTACTCTCCTATGGGGGTGTAAATCACTTCCTTTATCCTACACTAAATGCTCTGGCTATTTATCCCCACCCCAAGCACTCACTCTCACTTGGACTCCAGTGGCTGGAGATAACTCACCACTATCATCTCAAACAGTAGCACAAGCATTCATTCTTAAAACCATTCTGATTTATTATTAATGCAAAATTAAAATTGCCACAGCATGAAAACACTTGCAAAGGAAATATCTGTTTACTGTTCACAATTGTGAAATGAGACTAATACACCAAGACTGTTAAAAATAGAGATTGCAGATAAACACATGATCAGCAATTTAAAAGTTAGAGTTGTGTGTTGAGTTTTTCATTTCTTTCCCCTGAAAAGAAAATAACTTGAATAAAATTTTTACAGTCCCCATAAAAGAGGCAATAGATTGTTAGTTCCCCTTTACAGAACTCCTTCTCTTAGAAGAGTAACAGTGCTCAGGGAAATAATAAGCTGACACAAAGGCATGCAGAGCTGAACAAAAGTTTCTATATTGCTGTTGCACTTAGCTGAGAAAATAAATTTCCATGAATAATGCAGTTAACAACTTTCTGGTCCACTCATAGACAGTACACTAGGAGTTCATGTTTTTCTAATCTCACTATTTATTTTCCTTTATCTGACAAATATACAATTTTAACTCTGTGGATTAAACCCCCTAGAAGGATTAGATTATCAAATCATAATTTCTTTTTTCTCTTTGGATGAATGTGACAGTGTTTCCTGTCTGAATTTGTCTCTCTCTCTATATATATATCTAACTTAAATATGAGCAGTGAGCAGTTGTACATACAAGCAGCTGTTCACTTTGCTTTATTGTGCATCACTTCCATTAAATTCTGATCATTATTATGCTGAAAACCCCATTTGGAGACAGAACTATGGTGGGGAAAAAAAACAAAATGAAAAAGAAAAAAAAGAGAAAGAGAAAAAGAAAAATAGAAAAAGAGGAAAAAATGAAAAAATAAAATTAACATAATTTACAATGCATTTATAGAATCACAGCTAAATTCACTGTTTGGCCAATGAAAGTGAGCAGTATTTCTAACAGAAGATGGAATATTGCATTGTGCCACAACATTCTAAAAACAATTTTATGGTTCAGCAGATCTGTTGTACCATCCTGTTGTGCATCAGAAAATATCTTACAGAAAATTTGATAAATTTCATAACATAATTTCAATTTTTCATTGTTTACTGGTATTAAAAAAAATAAGGCCTTAGTGTCATCACTTCACATAGAAAAGTAGGAATAGAAATTATAAAAATAAAGATAAGCATTTCCTAATACTAGCATTTTTTGGAGAACTTAGAGATCAGCAATAATGTTGGCTACAGCTCTAGGTTTAGTGAGTTATCTGAAAGACCTGGTGTTGCTCTGGATGATACTGTTGCTTTCTTCATCATCTTTGTACTCAAATTCTAAGGCAATGTGCCAAAATCTTGAACTAAAAGGAACAAAAACCAAGGTCTGAATGCAAGTTAGGTCCTTTCAAAGCAGTGAACATTGGGCCCACAAAGTTCTACTTACACCTAAAGAAAGTGTCTCATGATTTCTTTTTCTGCATGTTCTACTTAATGCCACTGTGAAATGCAGAGCTATGTGAACCTGCATTAAGCAAAACACTCGTTGCACTCCAGCACGCTTGGGAAGTGGATCCACAGACGTTCACAGGCACACACAATCTTCTCCATATTCAGCTTTATGGACACCTCAGAGCAGTGTGTGTCATTTCAATCATTTGCCACAAAAGCTTTGGGGCTTGGGGGTGGATTTGTAATTTGAAGTGGGAACTGATTATTCCTTTTGGGATTCAGGGCAATGTCTGAATAACAGAGTATGGAATCCTAGTTTCTGAGGGGTAGAGCTGGATGCAGGGCTTAGGACAGTTCCTATCTGTCACAGCACAAGCTGGCTTGTAGCTGGGCAATTAATTTGGCCATCACCAGATGTAACACTGACTGGTGCCAGGTCCGAGACAAAGACACTAGCACTCTATATCCATGTGACAAAAGCTTTTTATTCTTGTGTACTCTTCTTATATAGAGAATTTGGACTTCCTGGGCAAACACATATGGTTGGTTGGGAGTTTGGATTATTCAGCTCTGACCAATGGCTTCTGCAGTTTAGGATGAACTCATTGGGTGAAATCCCTGTTTGGGTTTGAATCTATTCTATCCTTGTTCACCTAGGGGCCTGTTTAAACAAACCAAGCTGCTGCTGAATCGAATCTTTTATTTATAGCCGAATTATTACCCAGCTACAAGCTAGCTTGTGCTGTGACACCTATGAATTTCAGAGGGGCCCGAGGACTCCCTGACCTGCCTCTGTGGGCAAATAACAGGTTTGAAAGGCTATGAACACCCTGCCACAGCAGTCCCCAGATCTTTGGCACCTCTTCACAGAGCAAGTGCAGGGGATGATGGATGGATGCTGAAGGTGTTGGCACAGCCAGCCAGGGACACAGATGGGAGGTCCAGTGCTGGGCCAGGGACACTTCCCACACCATGGCTGCCCTGACAGACACCTGGGCACACTGAGAGCCAGTGTCCATCCCCAACAGCACAGAAAGGAAACAGCCCTTAAAAACACACCTTGACCTCAAAGTGGAGCCACCTTCTTCCATTTTTCCCTTCAGAATGGATGCAGTCAGCACTTTTGGCCTAGCAGAGATTCTGACTCAAAGCAAAGCTTGCACACTCACTTTTACCTCAGCTGACAAGGGATCTGGGAAAGCTGCCAAACCTGTGCTCTCTTTGCATGATTCTTTGAGGTATTAGAGAATAAGGGAGCCTAACACACCAGAGGCAGGGATTTGCCATGCCTCAGCCAGGGGCACGAGGTGTGCCTGGTACATGGTGTGTTCTCAGGCACCTTGGGCACCCGCACAGGGAGCGCTCGCCTGCCTCAAACCACTGGGGAAAACAATGCAAGAGCTGAGGTTTTGCTTTATCCAGGCACAGGCTGAGTGTGAAGCAGGTAAGCTGCTGGTTTCACTGAGGCCACAGGCTGGAATAACTGACTGGCACAGCCCAGCTTCCTTCAGTGACCCACACCCCAGGCTTGGTTTGCTGTAAGGAAGGGATAAACTCTGTATGGAGGCACTGCTCATAGCTGACAGCCCACAGGGTGGCTGCTCTGGAATACAAGTGTGTGTGTATGGATCAGCCCCGAAATACTGCATTTTAGCTTAGCCAGGTGCTGGCTTGGATTATTTTTTTTTTTTCCTCCAGAGTTTTTGTCACATGGGAACTGGAGTGCTGCATTGCCTTAAAACCTACCACTGTATCACCACTAGTTAAGAGGGGATAAAGTTACATCTAATTCATTACGGGAAAAACATTACTCTTAAATTTGAATGCCATTTATTATTCAATAGAGAGTCACTCATGATCAAAAACCAGGGAAAAACATATGGGAGAAATAGTAACACACAGAGCAAACAGAGGAGGACATTTCTCCCAAATTACAATTTGGCATCAACATGAATTGCAATAAATGGATCTTCAGCATCAGTATTAATCTGGAAATTAGCCATTCCATCACCAGAAACAAAAATCTGCTTTCCAGTACATTTGTTGTTCTCTTTTTGTCCAGAAATAACATCACAGTAGGTACCAGCAGGCAGTCCAGTTTGTACATAGACATTCATATTCCTATGAGAAAATAAACATTATTTATGCATTGTTTTTAAAAGGGGTATTTCAAATTGTGTGTAAGATTTCTAAGCCTGATCTTACTCCCCTGTTTGAAGGGCATTGTAAAGCATGAGATTTCTGATCCTAGGCGTCCTCATTTTAGCTCTGTGGACACATGCACTCCAATAACTCATGTTGGACTGATGATGAGAGATGCTACTGTTCTCTCTGGGGACACTATTTCTGCCACTGACTTACCAGTCATCATTATTGAAGATGATGAAGCCTTTATTACCACGGCCAAAAGCCACTTGATTGCTGCCATTGTCCCACCAGTTGGAGAAAGGCTCACCATCCACCACATTACGGAAGATAACCATGTTCCTGAAAACACAAGCAATGGCTGTCACTGCACCTGCAACAGCTCTAAGGCCACATGGAGCAGGAAGCAAAAGCAACTGCTTTGACTTCCTCTTCCTCCCTACTCAGTGCCCTACTTGATCTGGCGCCAGCGATGTTCACAAACCCAGTCGTTGCCACAGGTGGTGTCCGGGTTGATTGTCACAGGCTTTATGGAGCCATCCTCGTTACTGGGGGGCCCAACCCAGTCATTGATGTCCTGGCATTAGAGAGACAGCTTTGTAACTTCTGACTGAAAATGCAGACAGCCCCTCTGGAGAGCAAGGCTACAGGGAGCATCAAAGTTTCACTGCCTACAACCAGCATGGGACAGGCAAATCACTCAACAAACTGAACCGGGCACTGAACCAGATCTCTGGCCCTGTTCTGACCTTAATCCCCACGGATGCAGCTTCAGCATTCATAGCTCACCCTTCCATTTTCAAAGTATCTTGGCCAGCGAAAACTTGACATCACACGTGTGAACCCGTACGGATGGGCAAGCATGAAACCAGACGCCATTTTATAGAGCCTGTTTGTTGGACAAACAACGAATGAGACATGGAAGGAGGAACCTGCCAGAGAACACAAAGCAGCAAAAGCAAGAAGCATCAGACAAGAGCAATCCCTTACCTGGCATCCCAGAAGGTCAGAATAGAAGATCCACCAGCCCCGTGTCCTCTCTGGTTGTCGTGATTATCCACAAAGACCAGGGCTCTGTCAGAAGGCACAAAGCCCCAGCCTTCTCCCCAGTTCCTGAACAAAAACACAGACTTGAAGCTACCCTGTCAATTGGTGTATCCAGTGAATCCTGGATAAGTTGCAGCATTTTCATCCTTACTTTAAGTAGGCCATCTTTTCTCCGTTCCACTTGCGGATCACTGTCCCCAGTTTGGCACCGTATTTGAATTCTGTCACTCGGCCATTTCCAAAATAGTCACTGCCTTTGATGGGCTCTCCACCCAAGTCAATTACCTGGTACAGGAAAGAAAACCTGCATCCCTTCTTGTCTCATAAAGACCAACAATGCAATGCAAAGAATTCAACATGAGTCCTTGCTCTACATTGAGAAGGAAGTATTTATGTGTTTGTGCTGTGTAGATCAGCAAAAAGTCAGTATAAGACATGAGGGGCACATGTAAAAACATGACTGAAGAAAGGAAAGGTAAAGACAATCTGTTGTGGAGGTGTTTTTAAAAATCAAAACTACCTATGTCTGCAGGGCTGCTCTAAATAAATTGTGAGCTCTTTCTAGGGTAAATTGGATGAAGATGTACTGTTATTCCTCTGAAGAAGGAGACAAAAGAGATACAAAAGACAAAGGCAAACGTAAAGGAGAAAATGTGGGGATTACCTCCTGGTAAATGAAAGGTTTAGTTCCCTCAGCAAACCATTGAATATTTAGATCATGCAGCTTGTCCAGAAATGCTCTTATGTCCCCAGGCCACATGTGCTTGGCAGCATCAAGTCGGAATCCTGCTACACCAATGTCAATGAGATGGTTCAGGTACCCTGCAACCGTTGAGCGCACGTAGTCCTTCTCCAGGGCCAGATCCAGAAGGCTGACCAAGCGGCAGTCCCGCACCTGTGCAACACAAAAGAAAAATATTAATTTATCTGTGTATTACACCAAAGGAGGGCACCTCCTTGCACTGCTGTCAATTTTCCAAGCGGGCTCCTTATCATGACCTACTGAGTTTATAAACTATAAAAATGAGTTCACAGGCTGAGCTGAGTACACTGGGCTCAGCTCAGGAGCAAACATCTGCACATAGGTTCTTGATTCCTCAGTACTTCGAATATTTTGCACCACACATACCTATGGTCACTGCTTCATTCACTTGTCAAGTGACTAAGCACAGGTTTTGTGAGGCACTACACCATTTGATTTTACTGTAGAGTTAACAGAACATGTCAAAAAAAAAAAGGAAAAATACTTGAAAATTTTGCTGAGGGAAGTTACCTGATATATATCACCATAATTTTCAATTTCTCCACTTCCAGAGTGACATTTGCCGTCATTGAAATCCCAGCCAGAGTATGGTACAGCTGGAAAATCTCTATTTCCAGCATTGAAATAGCTTCCACAGGTAGAATGTGTGCCTGAGCCACCTGCAGCCCCACACATATGGTTGACAACAGCATCCACATAGATACGAACCTGGAACAGCAATATGTGCATTTCAGTATGTTTTGGAGCAAAAGTGAAGTGATAGCCATGGCTTTACCACATCACCATTAAGCTGATTTTTTTTTCCCTTTCAGTTTCTTCTCCGTTTACACCTCCTTTGAGGACAGCAGCACCTTCCCTCAGCTGATACAGCACTTCTTGCTGTATTAGTCACAGATTTGCAAGGCACTTACTCCAACATTGTTGCATCTGGTCACCATGTCTCTGAATTCCTCTTCATTTCCTGATCGAGTGCAGAGCTTGTAGCTAACAGGCTGATATCTTTCCCACCAGGGTCTGTTTGGGTTAGTAATCACAATATTTTCACTTGGAGGCGAAACCTGCAGATGAAATGATGTACATTGATAAGAAATCAAGTGGTTTTATTTCAATATTTTAAGGGCAAAATCTGTACTCAGGACCTCTTCCCTCAGAGGAAAGTTAGTACCCAACCCAGTCTCCCACAGCAGAAGTTCAGGTCTGTGAGATGTCTGCCTTGTATGCTGGCAAGGAAGACATTTTGGGTTGTTCCCATGGGTTGCCTGGGTCCAGCATGGACCTACTTTCAAGGACATGTGCATAGAAGGGTTGAAGCCATAGGAGTTATTTTTACCTGTAATAGTAACAGCCTTAGAAATGCCAAACCTCACTGCTTCCATACTTCCTTTAGAACAAGCTAAAGAGCTTTACCTTCTGCTTAGTTTTCAGGGGCAGCCTTTCAGAGGAGGGTATGTCCCTTTGTAACTGATCTGCTAGAGATGCATCATCATTCATTGGTCCTGCAGGGTTAGGGGTGCTTTTAAAAGCAGTTACTACTTCCAACCCTCCCTCCTCAGCAGCAAAGTTTCTTGGAGATGACTGTCTCCAGCTCAGGCATTTTAACTTATTAATCAAATATTACAATGCCATTTTCCTACTACTCCCAGGAAACAACTCACCTGAACTCCTCCAAATCCATTAGGAGCTAAGTAGCGCTCACACTCCAGAGCAATATCCTGCCAGCGCCATTCAAAGAGATGCACGATTGAGTTTCTTTTTGGGAGGGTGTTGGGGTTGTACTGCCCCCAGCACAGCCCTGCAGCTGCGAGGAGGAGGAGGAGGACCTGCATGGTGCCTTCAGTGTAAGGCTGTGGTCTCTGCACTGGCTATTTATGTGCCTGCGAGATGACAAAGTTCCTGTAGCAGGTGTCGAAATTCACATGGATCAATGCTATCAGTATTATTTAGATAGCTGGCTCAATATCATTCCTCTGGTTTGTTTTTCTCCCATATTACCCAACAGCTGAAGATAAAATATCTTTTCACAATGGTTATACGCCATCATAAACCAAGTGGTCTGTGAGCAGTGCACTCAAATGCAGAACTGCACTCCTTCCAATCACATAAACAAAGATACTCCATCAAAAGTCTCCCAAAGCATCACACACAGACCCTCAAAGGGGTCTATGGAACATAAAAGGAACGGGAGGTGATTGAAAGATGACTGGAAATCTAACAGCATTAAGAGAATGAATGAGTTTGTCAGCATTCAGAGCTGTCTTGTTCTCAGGATTAGACTGAGTTCGGACCAGGGTATGAACAACTGTTGTGGTTTGACACTGGCCCAAAGCCAGGCACCCACCAGAGTCGCTCACTCACCCTCCCCTGCTACAGCTGGGCAGGAGACAGAAAAAAAATTAACAAAGGGCTCATGAGTGAGATAAGGACTGGGAGAAAACACTTTAAGGGCAAAACAGGCTCACCTTAGGGTTGCAAAGTGAATTGATTCCTAGCAGAATCAGGGGAAGATAATGAGAAGTAAAATAAGCCTTTAAAACACCTTTTTCCCCCAGTCCTTCCCTCCTTCCCACTGACAGCACAGGCAGAGGGCATGGGGGTTTTGGTCAGTTCATCACTGAGATTTTCTTCTGCTGCTCAGGGAGAGGAGTCTTTCCCCTATGAGACCATGGGGTCCCTTCCCGCAGGAGACGATTCTCTGTGAACTTCTCCAGTGTGGGTCCACTCTCACGAGCAGCAGCCCTGCCAAAACTGCTGCAATGTGAGTCCCTCCTATGGGCACACAGCCCTGCCAAAACTGCTGCAATGTGAGTCCCTCCTATGGGCACACAGCCCTCCCAAAACTGCTGCAAGTGAGTCCCTCCCATGGGCACACAGCCCTCCCAAAACTGCTGCAGTGTTGGTCTCTCTTCCCACGAGGTGCAGTCCTCCAAGGACAGGCTGTTCCAGTCTGGAAGCAGGGCCCCTCTCTCCACTGAGCCTCCCACTGGGTCACAGCCTCCTCCAGGCATCACCTGCTCCAGCATGGGCACCTTCCCCAAGGCTGTGGGTGTATCTCTGCAT